CGCAGAGCGGGGTCGGCGGATTATGCCTATGAATATTACTGAAAGGAAGCGGGGGGGTCTTAATTGCCGTGAGAGCTACGTATGTTTTTTTCCTACAAACACTAATACAGCAAGATGTCAGATACTGCCCCATCCTTTAACAGTCCAAGAGCATTCATTGTAGTTGCAGTCAGATGAAACTAAGTTTAGACCCTTTAACCCTGCATCAAACCCTTTCTGCATACGTCTATGTATCTATGTATGTATGTATGTATGTATGTATCCTCAGATATTTCCAGTGCTTGTCTTAGGGTGTGGGATGTCCATGGTCAACTACAGGCCAGCTTGGACAGCAAGCTCGAGGCTTTTCAGAACCTCTCAAAAACGTGGCTTGGCATGACAGTGGTGCCTTGAGTACAACTCATAATGATTTATCCTGACTGTGTAAATGCATCTTAGGTGGATAAGCTCCTTGGGAAAGGATGTGATGGCTTCAAAGGCGTCCGTCGCAGAAGTGATCCTGTGCCATCGGAGCATGTGCATTCAAACAGAGGAGCGGCTGAACTCCCTTGACTCCATCGCCGAGCAGCATAGCACATCGCTGCTTGCACACGAGGCAGAAGCAGTCAAAGTTCACCCGGCCAACCGTGACGCCCTGCCAAAGTGACAACCTGCCTGTGCTTGCAGCGAGGAACGCTTGGTGACTGCTGATTCCGCGATTGCGTTACGCTGCGCAGTGCTGAGGGATGCAGCCTGTTGTTGCAAGCAGGTTGATTTGGAGTAGGCGTGGACTGTGTGCTTCCCAGGCACTGTTACCGACTACAAGTCGCTGGCCACCACCCTTGCAGAGCTTCAAGCGGAAGTAGTGTCATCAGCTTGGCTTGTGCAGACAAGACTCATTGTAATGCGTAGGAGGCTGAAGGACGGACTTGGATTTCCTCCCACCAAAATTGCCACATTGTACGCGTCGTCTGCGTACGTCGTAGCTGTAGTGTTAGTTGCAGTGCTCATGTTTGGATTTGTAGTCACACTTGAAGTGGAAGTGGAAGAAGTGTTGTTGTTGTTGTTGTTGTTGTTGTTGTTGGTTGTTGTTGGTGGTGGTGGTGGTGGTGCTGCTGCTGCTGCTGCTGCTGCTGCTGCTGGTGCTCGTGCTGGTGCTGGTGGTGCTGGTGGTGGAAGTGGCAGTGGCGGTAGCAGTGAGGGTGGCAGCGGGGGTGGTGGTGGTCTGAACCACGAATCAAGTTACCCAAGCTGTTGGCGAGGCGTGACCGCGCCACGGCACAAGCATCCGTGGACACGGCCGGGCGCTTGCTGGACACGGGCCACAGTGCCAGCAAGCAAGCTTCAGGAATAAGGAAGTTTGTAGCAACATACCAAGGGCCAGATCAGCAGTAGTAGTAGAGATGATGTTTGTGTCAGAAGTGCGTGCTAGTGGCCAGTTAGAATATTGTTCCGTTTGAAATGGGGCAGCAAACCCTTCCGGGGCCTGGCTTCCTTGATACATCTGCGTTTCGTCACTGTCAGATGCCCAAGCTGTCGAGTTTTGTTGAGCTGTTTGGGTCAGACTCATCAGATGCAGACAGTAATGACTTCTGTTATGCAATGCTGTAAGATGCATTCTGCAGTTTTCCCACGCAAGCCAAGGCCAAAGCAAATCAAGTATGGTAGCAGACCAAAACTCGCCACCACAGCTAAGCATCCTAAGCATGACTTGACTCAGACGCTGGCACCACCAACTAAATCAATTCAACATCTCCTGAATGCACAAAGTTGCGATTACTGATGGCACTCACGCTGCATTGCCTTGGAACTGGGGCGGGCCGCACAGCGGTCTACGACGGCGAGAGCAGCAGCTCCTGGGCCTTGGCCTTTGACAGGAGAGGCTTCCTGCTTGGAGGAAATCTTGCGATACGACCGATAATTTCCTTTGTTCTCTTAAGGTCTAAAATGCTCAGAAAGGTGCAAGATCTCCTCCAGCCACAGTTGAGAAAGCTGTTGAAGCTTTCCTTTCTGATTGCACGCAGGAGACCCTTCTTCCTTGCTGACCTTGGCCTTGGCGTGTGCAAACAAGCCCTCCATTACCTGGGACCTAAGGGAAAGGGAGAGACAGCATGCGGCGAGATGAGTGAAACGAGAGTTGCAGGGTGGATTGCGCCAGGAAAAGCAGGCAATGCAGGCAAGCCTGACATGCCAAGACAGGAGAAATACCATCGACAATCTTCATCAGCCACAACCACAGCGACCATGCTGGCGAGTTGCCAGTGGTGCTGGCTGTTGAAGGCCCAAGGACACATAGGTGGCTATATGGATTATAATGTTTTCTACACGTACCTGTAAAAAACATATAGTTCATGAAGCTCTGCTTGCCACTTGGATCTGCTGCCAGATCTGCCTTCTGTTCCTGAGCGCAGGCTTGCACAAGCAGCGGCCGATGCACGTGATTGCCGAGACGGAAGTGCTGGCCAGGTGCGCCTGCGACGTCCACGGCTAGATGTTGAGATTCTGCATTGGTCAGAAGTTGTGTGCTGGGCGGGGGTCCCTGAAGGCTGCAGGTCTACAGAATGCACGAAGTACGCAGCATGGGACACGACATGGGCGACTTCGCCACATGGATTCCTGCGCCAGAAGGAGAGGTGGTCACCCTCATGAGCGAGGCATGGACGGATTTGTCTTAGCTCGATTCGACGCAGTTGCCAAGCCTCGTGTGTTCCAACAAGGCCGGCCCTGTGCGCCTCACCACTCATCGGTCGCGGCACAGCGAGTTGTGCTTCGGTGCGCGGCTCGACATAGGCCTTGAACCTGGAAAGCCATGACCCCACCCACCCCCCGTCTACACACCTTGCTTTCTACATGCATACGTATATGTATACAGACATGTGTACTTGTATGTGTACATGCACACAAACGTTGAAATGTTCGTACCATAGCACACACATACACATGTGCACACGGTAACATACACATGCCCACATCAACTTACACCTGCTCGTACAGGTGCGTGTACATACTCTCGTATCTTATGTCTTACGTACACCTACGTCCATGTGCCCACCTGTGCTTTGAATAGCGAGTTCTCAGGGTAGGTATGCAGATGTCCCACATGTACATGGCGCACATACATACACACACATATTCATATGCATAATTTGGCATGTGGTCTCCGATGAGATTTTACCTTGAAAGGCCTAGCATCTTTTGCACATGCTTGCATCCTACCTTTGCATGAGCAAACGTTCCATCCTCTCCTCCCCCCTGTTGTGTGCACCCTTTGGCTCCTTCTCATTGTAGTCTTCAAAGTGCCAACATTCACAAGGATCATGCGTGTCCTTGACGCTGTGCTTGTATGTGGCGTAAGACTGCCAGGTTTGTTGGCAGGATGAGCATAGTAACTTTGTTGATGATGAGTCAAGTCATGCGTTGTCGACAGCACGCTTTGGACTTGTATCTTTTTGCTTGAAGTCCAGAGTTTCAGGTAACAAAGCATTTTACTAAACGTCCAGGGCGTAAATCGAGGAGGCCAAAGTTCCCCACCAAACTCTTGACAAAATCCAAACAGGTACGGTACCCAGTACCCAAGTTCGACAAGCTGGAATTCAAGGTTTGTCAATGCCTTGAGTAGGTATGTAAACAAGCCAACTCAAATGGGTGGTCTTGACACTGGAGCAGGGAGATCTTCCAGCTGGTTCACGCAGATCGCTCAAATCATGGCTTCTTACCGTTCTTTCAGCCATCTTATCAAGAGGTAGGACGTACTTGTGAGCCGATGACATGAGGTGAGATTCTGAAATCAGTTGGAGCAGCGAGTTCTGCGTGAATGGCCATGCTGAAGTTTTGCGTGTACCAACCTTTGTACATAGTCACATGTAGACGAGACAAGACAAGAAATTAGGCATGCATGAATTTCGGTTTCGACTAATTCGTGTACATCTTTGGGAGTCCTTATCTTGAGCACTGTGTTGTCAGAGTCCATATTGGGCGCCTCTCGTGTATGGCACCTCCCCCCAAATGCATGTCTTATCTTATTGGTTCTTAGAAGGGAATGAAGGAATGTAATCCTTATATACTATAATCCCTATGTAGTATTCCCTTAACCCCTACTTTAAGAACCACTAAGTTAATTTTTTTGTCAGGCCAACTTTCTGTGGGCTGGACAGCCGACAGTGGCTTCTCATTGGAGCTGCTCCGGGCCCTGAGACGGCCAAAGCTGCTCCTCATTGATGCCCGCAAGGCCGGGCACGGCTGAGCTCCAGTCTAAACTCCGTCAAGGGGGCTATATAGGGGAGCATTGTAGGGGAGTATTATAGGGGTTATTAATGGGGATATTAGGAGTTTAGGCTACAGCTCAGCTGTTGTGGGAAAGACTGATACTGGCAAGAAGGGTTTCTTCAGTAGGGTCTGGATGTAGAAGTCGCAGAGTACCGCACGTCGCAGTCATCACACAAGAATACATGACTGTAATCGTGCTGTTGAACATATGTGCCCGTTGTGGGCCTCAAATCAACCTGACAAGCTTCTACCTCCCTGATTTCAAGAGCTTCTTGATGGATTTTTTTCCATGGTGAGGCTGTGAACTGGTAGCATTCAAGTTTCAGCACTCGCATGGTACAAGAGCTGCTTGAATTGAAAAACCTTTTCCTAAACCTACATGTCTACACAGAACGACCAGATTATGAAGGTCTTTATAGCAGCTGAGGTAGGTGGACCCGAGCATGCAAGCTTCCAGGACGAGGGTCCCTGGGATCGTCCATGTTCTCATATTGTGTCCGTTGTTTTTTTTGGCAGCTGCAGAATGTTTTTCTGTCCCTGTCTGCTTCAGTGATTACCAACTGAAACGCAGGAGATTGTGGATTACGTCGCTGGCAATGAAGACGTTGAGTTCTTAGGTGCCTTGTCACCGCATGCCTCGTTTTGGTTGCTCACGTTTTCGCTGAAACTGTTTCTCCATGATCAGGATTTAAGTTGTAAGATGTGGTCGCTCAATTTGCAACCCGCATTTCAGATCTTATTGCAATGTGCAGGTGCGCCAGTTGCTGGGCACCTTTTCACTCCAAGGGAAGGCGTATGCCAGCTTGCTGTCGGGCCCTTAGCCTCCCGCGGCCGTGGCATCATTGCGGTCCTGTAGCAGTAGTACTGAACCAATAGTTACGGCAGTAGCGGTGAATACATCAACATGGTTCTGAGAATGAAGGGGACTGAAGGGAGTGTAATAGAAGCGCGCAGAGTACTGGTATCATCCAAAAACTCAGTCCACGATCCAGCTGCAACCTGAAACTCAGATACTCGGCTATGGCTCCTCGGCCGAAGCTCCCGGCAGAGCAGACGGAATTCCTTCCAGCGCAGTGCTGCGGCCTGGCCAAGTGATGCTTGGGGGCATTGGGCTTCATTTGTTTGGGATCCAGAAAGCCTGACAGCCTGCAGACTTGCATGGCTCCTGCCCAAGGATTGTGCTTAGACAGGCACCCATGCAGCGCAACTCAGTGGCCTTCATTGCGGGCTTCCTGTGTGGTTACGCGTGCTCCGTATGCTCGCGGCACTTGGCAACCAGTGGACGCCAGTGATGCCCACCAGCATGAACTCACTCTGTCCTGAGCGAAAACATGGCCTTTCTCGCAGGAAGATCTTGGCGCAAGGTTTGGCCTCAATGTTTGTGGGATGACGTGGAGGTCTTGAAAATCTAGACCGCCTCACCACATAGACAGACCGAATTGCGCCAGAAACATGCTGGACAAATGGGGATTGCAAATGCCAATTGTCAGCTAACGGAGCAACTTCATTCACGGAGAGATGGGTCATACTCAGGCCACACGTGAGTTGCAGAGAACTCTTCGCACGACTGACGGTCGTGGGTGGCCTAGCCAGAGGTTTGTGCTAGCTATGATGGAATTCCCTTCTTATGCCCCAGCATGTTGAAGCATTCATTGGTTGATGCCTGAGGCCTGGATACCCTCCAGCAGAGCCTGGAGAGCAGCAGTGCAGTCCAAAGCTCAAGATGATGCTCTGGGAGGGGCAAGAGACTTGCAGAAGTAGAACCTTTATGATGCAAGGAGGTTGAGTCTTGTGCTTTTGGAAAGCAGGGAACCTCAAGCGCGAAAACAGCTTGTCATACTTTTGGGGTTCTCAATGACTCTAACAGTCTTGCTTTACAGTAGCCTCTTGATGGCAAAGCTTGCCTTCATATGTTTGAGGCCCTCAGCACGGAGATCTCAGGCATTTCCGACAAGGCCATGATCCTTCGGCAGCTGAATGCTGTAAAATGCTGTAAAGTCCTGAGGGCTGGCTGAGGGTATTCAGAGCCTTCACTGCCTGTTTACCAGGTGGAAACCCTGCAGTCCGTGACCAAGACACTCTCCAAGCAGCGAGATCTGGAATTGTTGGAAGCGCGCATGCAGAAGGCGCGTCGTTCACTAGACGAAATTCCGACTGCAGTTGGGAGCTCCCCGTGTTCTATGTGTGTTGTCGGCGGGGTTTGAAAAGCAGTTGCATGTCCTGGTACAACTTGACGTGCCAAAGACAGCCTGGAGACATCAGCGAACGCGGCATGAAGCCCCATGCATGCTGCGGAGCTCCTTTCAGCACGGTGCTGCGCTTGTTGCAGGCTGAAACGTCACTCCAGGCCACAACTGAAGAGCTCGGCACCAGCCTCAGCTTTGAAAGCTGTTCTTTCAACTTTGGCATGTTCTCTGGTGCTGGCATTGTGGCATGAAAAATGGAGTAAGATGATGAATCAGCATGCATCGACAACGCAATTTCGATAGAGAGGAATTCCCATGTGCCATAGATCACGAGAAGCTGTCCCCAAAGTCAGGATGAGCAAACCTTCACATGACTTACTTCTGGGCAGAACATAAATGCCAAATCTCCTCGATCAACATCGCACCAAAGGACCCAAAGTCTCATAGCTGCCCAGACAAAGATCCGAGTTAGAGGCAATCCTTTATGTGCATATGCCTGACAGCTGCAGGGCGCAAGGCGGCTGTGGGAACCTTGGGATGTTGACGTGCTGCAAGCGGCCTCCTCCTCCTCCTCCTCCTCTGCTGCCGCTGCCGCCGCCGCCGCCGCCTCCGCCGCCGCCGCC